TTTCCTTTCTTCTCTTACTTTATATTTCTTTTGACTGCATTCACTTATCTTCATCCTTCACCTCACTACCTTTTTACTTGATGTGCTGATATTGAGGTGTGGCAAGTTGGACCGTTATGCAGTAATGCCTGGTCCTATGTTGATAATGATGATGATGATGAGAGTGATATGAAGGAGATCATGTGAGAAAGAAATGAGAGCTTGTGGGCAGTCGTGGAGCCAGGTTGAAAAGACCGTAGAAACCAAAGTGTATTACAGTCATGTTACTGAAGCCTTGTATTCCACTAGGAACCCGAGGGACAAATAATAATAAATGACATGAAATGTTTATTTCCATATACGCTGGTTTCTGTTAACCTGCTAGCTGTATTTTCAATGAACCTTCGACTTATTCCAGTTCATTTTTGCTCAAAATAAATACTTCAATACTTTAACTTCTATAACACCCCTGTTTATTGAATTCTTAGCTAATAAAAAGTACATTACTACTTCCTATTTATTTGAAATACATTGAACATTGAATTAATGTTACTATTCACTACTAGTGATATTTATTTTGTTTGTTATTCTGGTAGGGAAGGGGGAATTTAAACCACATGATAACTAATGAGAATACTTTCCATGTGATTTATAAATTAATTACCGATTGACCTGAATAGTGTGTTTTCATTGGGATAGATAGAGAATACTTTAAGAGAAAGAAATTGATAATAATCTCTCTTTCTCTCTTATATTTTGTTTCTAGTCAATAGTAACAAGTGATGGTAGAATAACACTGAAATAAAAAGGCAATATTACATAGTTGTTGAATTTACAATACTAAAACTGGACTGTTAGTTGAATGGAGTTACTCGACAAAAAGACGTGTCCAATCTTGGTTTCGTTATTTCTAGCACCTGACCTCAACAAGGCATATCTACAACCTTCACAGAACTGACATGTCATGCCTCGAGGTTCAAACCGGTATCACCCAATTCGACGATCGGAGATGTTATCTCTGAGCTATTACAGCCACAAATGAATCTTCTGTAGGACTGAATTACACACATTCAATGGATTGATTGAAATGTCGTCACTAAAATGACTTGATCAACTGTAGGGAACTGTTCAGCAAGCAAGCCTTCATGATTGAAGTGAAATTAAAGTCTTGTCAGCAAGGGGATCTCCTAGTTCAGTTGGTAGGGCATCCAACTACCTGGTTCGCCTCCTGTCACAAACCACATTTTTAATTTCATTTCATCTGCAATCATCATCCAGTATGAATAATACAACGTTTGGCAACCAAATCACGGCTATCTCACATACTTTTATTAACATTTCATAGTTGGCTTACTTTATGTCAGTGTGATGATAGACAGGCAGTTGTATAGTTTCTATGTAACGAAATTTTGTTATTTACTCGAAAATTGTTACATGTGTGTGCGTGGTCACTAAACAAGAAGCCAGTTAGATTGCGTAATCAAATTACAATCAGATTGATTCATAGAATGCAGCATAAATAACTCTTTACTTAGGTCAAGTCGTCTTGTATCATAATCATCTGGTCAATGCATTTGAAGTTGGCAAACAGTTAAATAAAGCATATGCCAGTGAAAATTTTATTTGAAAATATCTTCTTACCCTAGAAAAAACTTGACAATGTGAAGGCATTTATTACTGACAGCAGGAGAACCAGTAAAGAGCTGAAGGCATTGAGCAGCTGTTTCGTCCTAGTGTGGGACTTCTCAGCAGCACAAACCACTGAGGCTGGCAGGGATTTAACTCTAGATATTCAGATGTCGAGGTGAATGCGTTCAGTCTTTAGGTTGAATTTTAATGGTCAACAGTCTCTTACTTTTTCAATCCGCTACACTTTCGACAAGTTGACGCTACAGATTACTACAAAAACAAGGTTGTCTAAAGATTATGGTGGAATCCCTAAGACGTAGAAAGGGGACGAGAAAATCAAACCATGGTACGTGATATTACAAGTTAAGATAAGGTGTGAAGGTATCCACAATACTATCATACAGTCTGATTCATATTACTTCAAATCCCACTAATCATCGGATGTGTCATGGAAGTCAGCATCATCTGCAGAGTTGCTCAAACTTACTTGAACTCCAAGTTAAACAGACTAGACGTAGAATGAAATTGAGTAGGGCAAACTGATTTTCTTCTCATGTATCCAGTCAGATTGTCAAAAAATCATACATATAAGCTTGCTCACTTCTCATTTGCATAACTGCAGAATTCATAACAGACTACAATTGATTTCTAAACACTACAGAATATTCAGATCAATATATACAGCCACTGATGGTAACAGTGTAACACTATGCAAAAGCAGGAGAATGTGAGAGTGTCACCATAAGCTGTCTAGGATAGAGATGTAGAAAACTATGAAGTAGAGTAAATGAGGTGCGATGCGGCGTATACAAATCATAGATATTTCCATCAGATTGACCTAGATAATCAGTGATTCCAGTTTATGAGAGTGGGAGAGACGTCTTCTTGTGACAATCACCGGGGAATCAATTTGACTAACGTCATATCCTTGGGTTCATAATTATCCAAGGCTTAACTGGAGCTCCAAGATAAAAAACTCGAATCTTCCGCACTCGTTAGCTTTGGCAGCACAGGCATATATACTGGTATCCGACGCTTCCAATACTTCTTAACCTAAAGGCAGCATTTGACTTTTTTGACCGTGTGGTGTTGTGACAGTATGTGACTGTGAAACGAGTACTAAGAAAGTATGTAGTGCTTGTCAAAGCTCTCCACTTGAACTGACGCCGCTGTGTAAGGATTTAGGGAAAGTTGTCATAAGAACTGGCGACAACCAGCGGTATCTACCAGGGATATCAACTGTCACTGTTTCTGCCTAAATTCTTCATAGACGTACTAATGGACATAACCTTACGCACGCCTGACTTCACAGAGATTGACCGACCCCCTGGAGGGTAGGTTCACTTTGAACATGCCGATAATATTGTCCTGCTAAGGGTAGACGCTGATAAAATAGTGGGTCTTGAGAAAGCAGCGAGCAGAAATCTGTGTATGTTTTTGCATATATCTCGCTGGCGCCTGTCAAATGTAAGATGATTCTCCAGAACTGGTATTCAACAACTCCTAGGTTAGTGATAAGGAGTTTAGTGGTGGAATATGTCGACCACTTCACCTACTTGGGGAGTTGCATCAACCCGATCGAGCTGATGGGTTGCTTATGAAATCTCAGCTGGGACACAGAAGGCTTGTTCGGCATTCGCAAACTAGTGAAATATCCGACTGTCTATTTAAGGACGAGTATACTGAACTGTAGTTCATTCTGTCCTGTTATATGGATGTGAGAAATGATCGTTGAAAATAGATGATATGAAGAGGCTACTGTCTTCTGAAGGCAAGGATCTTTGTAGCTTTGGCCATATATAATGAAATCACAGCAACTACAACGATGAAGTTAGGTATAGTGTAATTAATGAGGCGGACAAGCCATTCGATATGGTTATGAGCCTACCTCAACATGTGATGCCAGCCCAATAAGCTGTGAAACCAGTCCATGAAGTTCCTAATGGATGGTCTAAGTCTTGTAGATGAAGGTGTACATTAATCTCTTAAGCATTAGTGGCTGAAGACTCTTCATGACACGGCTGAAAATTAATCACATTGGCGAAGATGTATTCATTCTTGGATGTCTTCTGAAGTGTAAACATTTTCACCAACTTTCCCTTTAATATATAGTAAAAATTTTCTCTTCTATCAAACACTTTTTTCTACTTTAATACAAACTCTTTTTCTATCCATATGGATTTTGTATACTATTGTGAGGTGTGTGTTTGCGACGACTTCAACCACAATATACCCCTGTATGATATTCTACGTTTTATCTATGGGACAACTGGTTATATACAAACAGTATGAGATATGTATGTCTAATGTTTCCTGAACTTTATAGAAATGCTTATTTATTCCTCCCTAGTACTTCTCAGTACTAATGAGCTTGAAATCAGAAGTATTTTTAAATTTCAGTCTGTTCATCAGCAATATCACATAGTGAAGGAACTGTATTACTGACTGGATAACGTTTCGAACACACCAGGTAACTCTACAACTTTATGACAGAGCTTAGATAGTCTTAATTTTCTCTCCTACTTTGTACATCTTCTATATATATATCTGAGACAGGTGTTAAATCATTATTCCTGTTACTGCATGTATTTGGTGTTGATTCGATTACCAATCTCTCCCTGAACCCTACTATGTCATTGTGTATTGTAATTGCGTGCAGACCTATAGTTAGCCGAGTTTTTCTCTAAATTTCTTATCTTATTCAGATTAAATAATCTTGGTTTAAAGTTGTTATTCATTGTAGACTGACATCAGTTGGAGGAACAAAGGAAACTTGGGAGCACTGGACAGCCGTTTTGTCCTAGTATGGGACTGCTCAGCAGTGCGCACCCATGACCCCGCACCAGCAGGGATCGGACCCGTGACCTTCAGGTTCCACGGCCAGCGCGTTACCATTGAGCTAGCCACTGGGTCAGAATCCAATACTCCATATTTCCAACTTGGTTTAGCTAAGTTTTTGCACTTTCTTACTCTAATCAACCCTGGTCAACTAATTTCACCTCTTAATCATTCATTACAAAAGATTTAGTAAACCAGATTATTTTGCTTAACTGGATCGATAGGATTTTTCAACCTACAAAGCTTGTTTCTAAGCGAGTTTATCGGTTTAAATGCTGGCCTTTCTGTGAATTCTTTGTAATGCTTTAAAGGTGTCATCTACCTAGACTGAGATGGTATGAGATGATTTGAAGTCTGAGTGGCTATTCCAATGGGTAAGTTTCCTATAGACCACACTGGTCTCAAAAACTCCCATCTTGTTTTATCTTACAATTCAACAGTTGCTAACTCAACTTCATCACTTTCTAACTCATAGATGAATTGAACTATTGAACTAATACACTGTCCAAGTGTTACTTTTCCTTGTATTTCTTTCATTCTCCTGTTTCTTGTAGGTGATTGTTGGTTACTGGCTGCAATCGCTTGTTTATCAATGCATAAAAAATTATTTGAACAAGTGGTTGCAATCGATCAAAGTTTTGATAAAGAATACTGTGGTTTATTTCGTTTTCATTTTTGGCATTATGGTGAATGGAAAGAGGTTGTTGTTGATGATCGACTGCCAACATATCAAGGTTCATTAGTGTATATACACTCAACTGAGAAAAATGAATTCTGGTCTGCTTTATTAGAAAAAGCTTATGCAAAGTAAGTTGAAGTATATTTCCTCATAGACTGATATCTACTTTGTGCGTATATGTGTGCGGGGGGCGGGGGGGGGGCGGTTTGCAACCAATTGAGTTTCGATTAATTCACAATTATGTTTCGTCCTACTTAACTCATCAACAGTTTGAAATGAAGTTTGTTTGTTTGATTGACCGTTACTTATTTATATCATATGGTAGAGGAAATATTTCAATTGTTAGCAGAGGGGGAGGCTTTCCAATATGATCACTTTCTTCCACAGTTGCATTGATTGATCACGCACAGGCTAATTGTGCAACACTACCAAGAGAATGCACCTTGATATCTAGGCGTTTTTACTTTGATTCTAGAAAAAGTGATGAGGTGGAAACAGAAACTAGAAGACTATTAGCAAACATTCAATGATTGTCAGTGAATTTACAAAGAGCATTTCTCTGATTTTAAAGGTCTTAGAAAATCCTAACGGCGTATATACAAGTAAATTTAGGTGGGGAGTAAATCCTAAGCGAGACAAAATACTCATCAAGCTGGATTCCACTGCCGCTAGTCAATATTCTTGATTAGTAACAATTTTGAAGATGATGGTAGTATGGAAGCATCCGCAGAAGAGCCCAAATGCTAATCGTGCCGAACCAACTCGGTTGAAGTCAACGATAGAGATTTAACAAGTTATGAAATTGAAGACTTTCATCGCATTGTTTATGTCTCCTATTTAGTAGTGAACGTCTGAACCAAGTGACTTTTCGGATTCGCTTCCAACTCTGACGTTGTAGGTGGTCCATCTTGATTACACTTGCCAAGTCTTCTATTCTCTTTTACTCAATCCACTCACATAATGATTTAGACAATTTAGCCCTGCCAACCTCGTATAACAGTTATTGTCCGTATCTAGTTTAGATAATGAATCAGCTGTGTGTGTTGACATACAATTGAATTTTCTGCCCACGATGTACCATAATTCAGTGACATGAAACAGTTGACTTCATTGCAAAAAAAATGTGACAGCATATTATAGTTGATCTCATTCAAAAACCAATTACTTCCAAACTATGAGTCATATAGAAATGGATGGGCGATCAATCAAAAGCTTTTAAGCCGAGTAAACTATACAATTATTATTTGTCCCTTGGGTTCCTTCCTAGTGGAACATAGGGCTTCAGTAGCACGTCTACATTCCACTCTCTTCTCTCAAATCTTTTAAACCTGGCTCCACAACAGCCAGAAGCTCTCATTTCCTCCTCACACGATCTCCTCCATGTCACCCTCACCTCCGACGCCCAACTCGTTGCTTCCCATCCGCCTTCCACTCGAGCAACTGGCCTGACGCATGATGTCCCCAATCGGCCTTCTCAGTGTATGCCCAACCCAATCCATCTCCACTTACTCCCAGTGCATATTTGTTGGGCGACAGGTTCTTGCTTGATTGGTTCGTCGCCAGCCAGAGTTCCTTGTTACTGATTCTTGTTATTCTGGCAATCCATCTGATCTTCAGTAACGGGCCAACGTATGTGGCAGTTGTTGATGAATGTCTGAAACTATACAATAATGTCACTAAATAAGTCATAAGAAAAATGCCTCTTTCAGATCGATAAAATAATACAACCGATGATAATTGTTTGCGAGATTCATCTTTTTTTCTCTATTTCGGGCAATGTGACACGCGTAACATCACTAACTTCTTACAGTATCATGAGGAACCTATCAACCTACTTCAGCGTACGTTCGACTTTCAATGAAGGCGAGTAACAGTATTCTGATGATGAAGGATGTTGATTTTGAGGTGTTTACAGGAATAGTTGTGGATTGTATCTCATTGATATTTCTTGAAAACAACCAAACAATCGTCGACTGAATGTACCTCCAACTCACTGAGTGATGGTATACACACTAGAACTCAAACCTATCATATATTGCTTCAAATGCACTAGACCACGGTGGCATAACGACCATCCGGGTAACGGGTATTTGTTATAAACGACTGAGTGAAATTACAGTCCGTGAGTTGATTTCATCTCTGCTATCCTTCTAAAGTGATTCATTTATTTAAGACTGACATCGGTTGGAGGAACATTGGGAACCTATCAGCACTGGACAGCTGTTTTATACTAGTACCGGGGGGGGGCTCTTCAGCAGTGCTCACCCATCACCCCGTCAGGGACCACTGGATCCCAACCACAGGCTAGATGCCAACGTGTTGACTATGGAACCCGAAGGTCCTCAGCTCGAGCCCCAGTCGACTGGGTCATGGGTTTGCACTGCTGGATGTAATAGCAGTCTATTGCTGTGTTCCTCCAATTTATATCAGTCTATGATGGTTTTCAACCTAAATTAATTAATAAATCTCCACAAACCTCCAGATAGAATTGATCCATTTATTTGTTGGAACTGACTTGCAAGATTTCTGTAAATTTAGGCGAATGTACAACGTATATGGTAGTGAAATGACCAAACTTTAAGTATAAGTGCTGTTTATAGGACCTACTTATTGACTACTCTCTTATGCTGCTGTCCAATTGATATGGATTAGGGAATATGGTGTCAGTTTTCCTTCATGACTGAACTTTAAAAGTATCTTGGTTACCCACTCCACCTTCAATATGAAAAATGCACATACATTATCTAGACAAACTGGTCGATAGATGGTAACATCAATCAGTTATACTCTGTTCAGCAGCACTTGCCAAATTCTCTGTTATATGGATTCATTGTGTTGAATGATACATCACTATAATCGATTGCAGGAAAAGACAAAACGTGGTTGCATTTCTCTTTACGATGAAGTCATTTACTAGGCTGTACATTCGTGAATATATATATATATATAATAGTGGGCAGAACGTTCCAGAATTATTTCCAATTAAGGGGCAAAATATATTGAATAACTAACTAAAGGAGGTTTACAGTAGGAAAATAAACAAAGGACTATGGAAATACATGTATAGTTACGTAACACAAAGAATAAATCTATGTCAGTCAAGGATTTGTGCTGACCATGGCAAAGATAAAAAGGTTGGATATACTGTTTTTGAACGCATTACACTTGTCTAAACTTCTGGATGGTTATAGACGACAAGTGCCTTAATTTTACTCCATTCGAGTTGTTTAATTAAACTGTGTACAGGATTTTGAATGAGCTGTCTCTCTAAATGACCAGAGTTCATGAGGTGTTCTGTTATTGAACTAGAAGTATATTCATTGTTCTCCATTTGTGGGCACGTTTTACAAGAGGATGTATGGTACAACCGATGTATTCAACTCCACAACAACAAGTAAACTAGTATACATACATTGATATGGCTGAGTACATTAGCTTATCTACTACACATTGACCAAACGTTTATTATAAGAGAAAATAATTTGAAGGTTGGTGGCGAAGTATGTTCTCTTTAAAGATTTTGACTGTCATTTTCATGAAGATGTTTACAGTAATATAATTTTTGAATTCAAGATTCAGCAAAGGAATCTTTCAAGTCAGGTTCTTCGGCTTCATGTTCTTATCTATGAATTTAAGCAGGAAATTGTTTTCCTCTAAAGTTTGTCAAAGTATATGAAGTTCCCCGTCAATAGTATCCACAGTACATATTTTCTTGATCTTCAAAGTAAGTGAATCGATAAGATTTCTCTTCGTACTTAGAGGAAATTAACTTTAAAAACTCATAAATTGTCTATTCCACTTAGGCTGTCTGTGAATTATCATCTTTTATTTGGGGATGGAATATCAAGAAAGTGAGACGTTCAATTTGATTCTATTCCTAATTTAGTTGAAGCATGAAGATCTATATTTTCATTCCAATGTATCTATCGTAGACATAATTATCATTGATTATTGATGATAAACTGACGGTTTCCAAGCTTACCATGAAGCAAATAGCTAGAAGAGGTCCTAGTGGAGAACCTATTGCTACATTGCCTATCTGCCACTGTTAAATCTGAGGAGGTACATTCAAGGTATATCGGAAGAGAAGTTCTTTTAGGTACTGAATTGGAATATCAACATCTGTTTTATATGAGTCAATGAACTAGATGGTTTCTGTTTCAGTGGAACCTTTATGAAAAGGGATATTGTGGTTCAATAGCCTCTTCTTTACATGTTCATATCTTTCTATAAACCATTTCGATTCGTTGTAGGCTCTTATCACTGACTTCAGTTAGTTCTTCCACTTTTAATTGTTCAATATAACCTTAGATATTGTCATATACAAATGTATTCACATAAATATGCATAATTTAAGTTAACATTTTTCAATTGGTTTAAGACTTTCAGGTTCATATGAAGCATTGAAAGGTGGTACAACAAGTGAAGCATTGGAAGATTTCACTGGTGGTATATCTGAAATGTTTGAATTGAAAAAAGATACACCAGCAAATTTATTATCAGTTATGTTGAAAAGTCAAGAGTTGTGCTCATTGATGGCATGTTCAATTCAAGCTGATCCTAAGCAATTTGAAGCGAAACTACCGAATGGTTTAATTATGGGACATGCTTATTCTGTGACTGCTGTTAAAATGGTGAGTATATCAACTGTTTTTTCCTTTTTATTTTGTAGTTGTTATTCACTGTAGACTGACATCAGTTGAAGGAACAAAGGAAACCTGGGAGCACTGGACAGCTGTTTCATCCGACTAGTCTGGGACTCCTCAGCAGTGCGCACCCGTGACCTTCAGGTTCCGCGGCCAGTGCGTTACCATTGAGCTAGCCACTGGCTCAGAATCTAATCGTCCACATTTCCAACTTCTGTTAGCTCACGATATATAGCGCAACCGTCACCCAATATCATCGTTGAGTAACTGTCCTCACGACCATCAGGCTTTGACTCCACCGGTCAGGACTTCTCATTGGAACTTCGGGAATACTTCTCGAAGCTAATCACCAATGAGCACCAATTCCATTGGATTTTGAGGGGGTTGTGTTTAACTATTTGAACTTTCCCCCCTCCCAACCCCTGTTTATCTTCTCGGAATTCTATTGGTCGAAGTGAAACAGTTCCTTGGATTATTAATTTGGTTAGCACTAATACACAACCACAATCATTGCTTAGAAGGACTTTACATGAAGTTAGAAGTAATATAGATTCGAATCATGTAATGAGTTATCCATCTCCTTTCAGATGAGTGGTTACAGGTTTTTGAAACTTACTTCCAGCATTCCCCATCAACTAAATATATAGATCAGCAGGCTACTATGCTGTGATCAATCCGAATGCATAGCCTATCTGTAACGTTTTGATACAGAGTTGAAGAAGTGATCTTCACAGTCATCAATGCCAACTATCTAATTCATTGCAAATAAACCAATATAACTTGAATTTCATTCTTAATTATAGATTGATTACTTCTGTTCCACTCACCTTAGATTGGTTCACAATACGGCAGAGCTTAAAACATGTCGTAAGAATTAACAGACCTTGACAGAAACATCCAGACAGATCCACATTAATTAATTCATAGAAGGGAGGTTTAAGAAGCTTTCTAGCTAATCAGTATATTCGAAATAACACGAGAGTCAATCCGATCACTGGGAAGAAAGAGATGAGATAACGTCATATGAGATTGATGTACTTTGAAATGTGGCTTGTGATATAAATAAAATCTGCAATACACTTGAAATCGACCACATTTAGATGAATGGTGATATCATCAATATTTTGGCCTAGAGGAGAAAGCTACTACAGCAAGAGCTAGGAAATGATGGATCGTGGCTAGCAGTGGAATCCAGGATGCACATTTCGTCCTATTTGGGACTCGTCAGCTGGATGTACCTACTTCCCACTGTGGAGTGACGTTCGTCCCACCGGGACTCGGACTCGGGAGTGGTCGCTTCAAACGCCAGGGCGTTATCCACTACACCATCGAGCCACGATAGCCACTTCTTGTGCGACGGTTATAGTTTCAGTATAATTGTTTTTATATGATAACGTCGTTGCTTGGACCGAATTGGTTGGTCTCAGTTGGCGTATGGAAACATCACTCACTGGGAAGCAGGTACATCCAGCTGATGAGTCCCAAATAAGACGAAGTGCGTATCCTGGATTCCACTGCTAGCCACGATCTATTATGAATACAATTAGAACGCAGGCAATATCGACGCATCCTCGCAGGAGTCCATATGCTAATAGAGACCGATCAATCAACGACGGTATCATATAAAAGCAATTATACTAAAAGCTAAAAAATATTTCTCTTACACCCTATCGAAACCCATCAGTGATAATAGTCTCTTTATTTAGATATGAAGTCGTTAGAGAACTGCACTATTAAGTGTATTTCTGTTCACAGTTTCTTAAGGTCATCATTCCTCATGCGAACTAGACTTCATAAATTACATAACTTTGAGGTAGTATTCATCGGTTGGAAAACCATTGAATACCTGATAGGAATAGGTCATGAGTGCACACTCCAGAAGATTCCCACGCTAAGATGAAACAGCTGCCCAATGCACCCAGGTTTTCAATAGTCCTTCAACTGATACCACAGTCTACGATAAAATACTAACTCAACTGTACATAAGTGTTACAAGATTACAACAGTTTAATTTTTAGGATTTTCGATTGCCCAAAAAATTTGTCAAGTTTTCGCTAATCTACTTTCGACCAGTCAAAGACTGTGAGCACATAGAACAAAACACAGCTGTGTTTGCTGTGTGTTGCATAACGACAGCAGTCTAGGATGTCATACCCTATACATCAGGACATCAAGATTGGAGGCACCAGTGAGAAGTGTAGATCAACATAAGACCAGGGATTACTGCGTAACGGTCCGAGTTGCTACACCTCACATGTCAGCACAATAAGCAACGAGACAATAAAATGAAGGATGAGGTACGAAAGACAGATCGGTCAAAGGGAGTAGAAGTAGAAAGTAGTAAAAGATAGTAAAGGAGAATGGGAATATGATGAGGATAATATGTGAGGATACATCTGCGCCACTGACATCGATTCTCAGCTGGATCACTTAAAGTCTCCAACCACTAGTGGTTTCTCTTGTCGCGTGAACCTCAACCGGCTTGTCTATATCTCCCTACATAGCACAAACCAAGGCAAAATTAAAAACTTCATGCATTGATGCCACCTTTTACTGTTGCCGCCCTGAGCCTTCTTCCAGTCTGAACCTAATTCGGCCAACATTGTGCTACGAGGTAGACAGTGACTATACATACGTAACACACGTCCCAACCAGCCATCTCAGTTGATGAAGGTTCACAACAGCATCAACTGTCTTACCTCTTCTACCTTCCTTAAAACTCTACACCTGATTTCTGCTTTACTCAACAAGACTATGCTATGAAGGCGACGGGGGTCAAACATGAGAAGCCTTCTAATGTCTTCTACCTTTAGGGGCTATGTTTCAGTCACAGAGTGGGAGAGAGTAGATTATATCATAGTACACTCAATCCTTAATACACAATCGAACAACGTGGTGGCCCCACAGATAGTGTGAGTTGGCAAAAGCCAACCGAGCCTTTTGTATCCATGCAGAGATTTCTTCAGCCAGTGAGTAACGCGCTAGGTCCTGATCCGACTTCTCAGGTAAGTGAAGTGTTGAATGCTTTAAACGTAATTTCACTCTCTATTGTTAATCGGGGCACCGTTGAAGACCAGTCCTAGAGCAACAATTTCCATTTGGGTGCCAAGAAACGCATCTCAAACATTCTCAAATTTCCACTCAAGGTGTACAGAAGACTCTGCATCTTGTCAGAGTCTTCACCTAATAGGACTATGTTATCTGCGTATTCTGGGTCTATCAAACGACCTCCCCAAGTTTGAACATTTTCATTTTGTATCTTTATAGATATACATCATGTATGTTCAATCTTACATTTTAGTTGGATATTTCACTACCGGATAAAAGTGGAAAAATCCCCTTAGTTCGTGTACGCAATCCTTGGGGTGATGAGTCAGAATGGAAAGGAGCTTGGAGTGATAAATCCAGGGAATGGTCGCTTATATCACCGGAACAAAGAAAACTAGTTGGTTTAACATTCGAAGATGATGGAGAATTTTGGTAATTAAACCATTTTTTCTAAAAAAAAAAGAAAATTATTTTTGGTTACCTAAAAACACTTCTCCATTTAGGCTCTGTAATATACTGCTGTCATCGAAAATTATTGCGATTACATGCAATTCGACTTTAGGAGGTGCAAAGAATTTGGTTCTGTGAACTGGATTTATCCAGGTACACTGATGGTAGCGAAACGATTACCCGATATTTAGACCTGAAGAAGCAACTGTCGGTTGTGTCAAAACTCTTTTCTAATAGAAACTCTATAGGGAGGGACTTGACAGTAAGATCATTGAAAAATTACTCAACTACGAAAAGGTGGATATGCATCATGGCTTATTTTGAGATAAAAGTCAATAACTATTCAAGTGGTCTTCATCTCTGATTACATTTGATTCGTGAGGATGTCCGTCTTCTGTTACAAATATTGGTTGAGTTGAAGATTTATATGGAAAGTTGAAGAGATTTAATTTGGGACGAAACAGTCCTACAGTGTTTCGAAGTTTTCACGGACTTGCCTAATAAGGCCATATCCTTGTGCTTCTAACCGACAGGTCTGTTATCTTTCCCAAACTGCTATGTGCTATAGCCGTTAACGATGCACAGAGATCGAATGTCAGCCACCAACATTCCACAAATTACTAGTTGATTTCTCAACATGGACGTTTAGAAACGTGTATTTGGGGTCGGAAGATCGAAGACCCCGATGAACAAAGGAGAATACAGCTAATATATAGATGGTTCACTGTTTAAAATAATGCTGCTGATTGGTAAATCCACCGTCTGTCTAACTGTAAACGTATTCACATAAAACACATTTTGATTGGTAGCTGTCCAAACTAGTCTCTTCTCTCTCTATCCCTATATCAGAGTCAAGAAGATGATGACATTATTGATCTGATTGTGGTCAGAGCAAGTCTTGGCAGTAGTTCATCAAGTTACAGAATATTTGTCTGACTAGTATCAAGAATTGTCAGATTCCAGTTGAGAGTCTGTCAGGCAACTAGAATGGAACGATTGCGACTCTAAAGCCGAGTGAACTATACAATTATTATTTGTCCCTTGGGTTACTAATGGAACATACAGCGTCACAAGCACGTCTCCATTCCACTCTCTTCTCTCAAATCTTTTGAACCTCGATCCACCACTGCCCACAAACTCTCATTTCCTCCTCACACCATCTCATCCATGTCACCCTCAACTCCAACGCCAAATCGTCAATTACCATCCAACTTCCACTCCACCAACTGGCCTGGTGCGCGATACCCCCAGTCCACCTTCTCACTGTATGCCCAGTACAATCCACCTCCACTCACTTACACTGCATATTTCTTCAGCAATACGTTCTCGCTTCGTTGGTTCATTGTCAGGCAAGCCAGAGTTCCTTCTTCCACATTCTTTCTCACCATCTCATCTCAACTGATCTTCACTAACGAGCCAGTGTAGGCAGCAGTTGTTGATCAATGTCTCTAGTTCGTCGGAAATACTTTTGTGACGTGCCAAGTCTCTCAACCATACACAAGCACTGACTTGACTGACTGGATTGGTGTTGAAAATCTGGATGTTGTTCACGCTTTATGCTGAGTGGAGTGCAGAAGATCTCCACACTGGTTTGAGGTTGATGAATGCTTATCTTGTTGTCTTTCCAATCCTGGCTAGCTTTGACGTTCTCATCTGTGCCTGTGCCGCCACCTGTAGTTGGAACAGTGCTGCCTAGATAGGTGTTGTTGAAGGAGGCTACCTCCTTTAAGTTTCTCCCGTTGACGGTGATGGTGATTGGAGTTTGTTGTTGCCATTGTTGTTGTTGTTGTTGCTGGTGGTGTTGGTTGGGTATCTTCATCACCTCTGTCTTCTCTATATTCACTTGAAGTCCTGTCTTCGCTGCCTCTTTCGCCACTGCAAAATCTGACCATCCTGGGTTCGATCGGTACTGTCTTGACTGAATTTCTTGTATACACTTCTTGACTGAATCAGACATCTTCATTGTTATCCAAATCACTGTATTCTGAGAGTATCTTCCCTTCATTTTCATTCTCTTACTTTATAGGATGTCTTATCAAGATTTCACATCGAATTTTGAAAAGCTTGAAATCTGTCATCTTGGACCACAATCTATGGGAGATATTGATAAAAAGGTGAATCGTGTTTGGGAAATGTGTATTGAAGAGGGATGTTGGCAGCGTCGTGTCTCAGCTGGTGGATGTCGTAATTTTCTTGGTAAGATTACTGTTTTAATATAATGTTTTGCTAAACACCATGAAAATGGTTGTTCTCCACTAACCAATCACTGTATAAGATGATATCTCTAGTTGAAGAAATGAGATGATGATTGCTGGGGTTAACTTTCTGTACGTATACTATCATACACTGAGATTCAGGTGTATTCAACTGACGAAGCGCAAACAGAATGGTACGCTCATCTTAGTTTCCACTGCTAACCACTACCAAGTAAATAATGTTCAGGAAAAGAATTCACTTTATTGAAGTTTTCATAAAATGTTTTCAAATTCTTTTTTCTGTATAGCTGCCATAGTCAAGTTACTGATGTGTATAAATTGACGTCTAGAGTTCTATTTACCAAAATTAAAGCTGGACAGAAATAAAACTGTCGAATGTGTAACTGTCAAAACGAACCAGACGAAAGCAAAAACTGGAAATCTCAGGCAAGCAGTATCCTTCGTATTGATGAGATTCATGTATATATATAACTCCACTCAAGAGCTTTCTAGTGACTCTTGGCATAATAGCATACACGAATGATTCATTAGTTTGTTAATAAAAGTGTAAAACTCTGGCGCTGTGGTCAAGTGTAATTCCATTTTAGTCTGTTTATTAGAAATATCATACAGTGAAGGAACACAGTAGCATTTACTGGATAGCCACGTTTCAGACACAATTTATTGTCCATATTCATATCAGATCAGGTAACTCCACAACTTCGAGACAGTCTTTATATATCCCTGTGATGACAAGAGTAGTGGAATTTTCCATATATCTGGGACAGGTGCAGAATCATTTCGATTGCCGCATGTAATTGGTGTTGATTCGATGAACAAAGATTCAGTCGGTTATCAATCTCTCCCTCCACCCAACTAAGTTGGTTTTCAACACTATCGCCCTATCCTACCTTTCTGTGTGATTGTGTGTCATCGCATGCAGAGCTATAGCTGAGTTTTTCTCTACATTTCTTATCTTATTAGGATCTACTGATCATGATTTAGCTAAGTTTTTGTGCTCTGTTATTCTAATCTACCGTACCTGGTCGACTGACTGCTTTGACCTATATACTTGACCTTGCAATCATTACAAGGGATCTGGTAAACCAGATTACTCCTCTCAATTGCATCGATAGGATCTTTTAACCTTCAAAGCTTGCTTGTTTCTGAGCAAGTTTGTTGGTTTGAATGCCAGCCACTTTAATCCCAGCCAGCCTTATTGAGAATTCTTCGTAATGCTTCTGAAGTGTCTTCCTTGTATGGTAACATAGCAGAGGCTTTGAATTCTCTCTTAACCCTGTCGCCATTATTACCACCGTTAGTAGTGGGATTATTGTTAACAACACCTGTATTACTACTACTACTATCACTGCTAATATTTTTCTCTCGATTTCTTATGAATTTATTTATAAATTTCGGTGGGTAATTATTGAGATGTAGGGTATTCTTGATGTGTCTAATTTCATTTTCGCAGATTTTCTGATCTACTAGTAAGCTTTTTCGCTGTATCACTTAAGCATTTAACTAGGCCTATTCGAATGGTTAGGATTCCTATAGACACTAGTCTCTAGATTTCCTTCTTGTGTTCGTTTAATCTTACAATCCAACACTGCTGGCTCACCTTCTTCACTTTCTAAGTCACAGGTGAGCTGGACTGCATTCAATACTGAATTTATATTGTACCAAGAACCTATTGATGTGTTCCTATTTCACTACTGTAAACGTATCATCATTGACTAGTTTGGTATTTGATGGTTGTTTCCTTTGATTGTTGTGTCACTGATACACTGCACAAATGTTTGCTGTAAGAGGCTTCTCTGACTCACATCTAAGCCATTACTCTTTGTGAAAGAGGTTAAATGAATAGCAGACATCTTGTTTGGTCACACTCATATACGTGGGTATAAAGCCTGTCAGATGCGACGATATTCCGATAGTGAGAATTGTGTGATACTGCTGAAGTTGTCACTTCAACTACATAATATCATGGGAGATCAGTTTCTTTGAAATTCATTACATAACGGTAATCTGTCAACTTAAAATCCTGTAAACATTTCCTATTCCATTTTTTTTCACTTAACATTTTAGATACATTTTGGATCAATCCACAGTATGTTGTATCAGTTGAAGATGCAGATGAAAATGATAATGAAAACAAAGGTACATTGATTGTTGGTCTAATGCAGAAGAATAGAAGAAAGATGAGAAATGAAGGTGCTGATCTGTTGACAATTGGTTACGCTGTTTATAAGGTGTGTGGTTGAATGGATGACCTTTGCTGAAATTCACTTATCCGTTCTCTTCTACCTGCAGTTGACATGAAGTACTGTTTGATAAAGGATGTCTGTCATGGCTCAATGGCCTAGTGTATAACGCTTTGATGCTTAAAGCGATGGGTACTTGGTTTGAGTCTCCTTAGTGGAAACAACATCACTCACTGGTAGGCAGGTGTATGCGGCCAACGAGCCCTATGTAGGATGAAATGCACGTCCAGACTTCTGCCTCTAGTCACTAACCATTTTTAACATCAGCCATAATTCAGATGATGATGATAAGAGCTAGCAAAACTGTATTACAATGTAAACAGCTTACAGAGTCAAAAATTGCCCAATACCTAGTGTAAGTATATGAAAGGCATAAACAATAAAAAGGTATGAAGAAAAATTTCCATGTTACAGCTTTTTATTGGGTTTCTCCTGACCAAGAAAGACTTGTTAAGCGTGTAAAAACTTCTGCATATGAAGGCCAGGATTATTAGCCTGAAACCTATAGTTTCCACTATGTGTAAAAGATGAATTCGAACACCATTCGAAAGCTTTGGTCGTATGCCACAGATAATGTTGAATATATCCATCTTATCTACTGACTGACCACTATCAGCCATATCAGATAGAATTTAGCTTCTTATGGACTTTATCGATCCCCTTCCTGACAGACTATGAATGTAGATACTCACAAACACGCCTTAGAAATTGCTTTTGTAGTACGTCTTATATAGTGTTCTCCACTGTAGCATCTGAACTTGTAAATAAAACAGTACAATAACACTACATCCTCCTAGCGTAGTGTACTCTCTAGCAGGGTATACTTTATTAAATTTCCTAAACATTTCTTCTCCATCCCCTACTACATCAAGAATAACGAATGTATTGTTCATGGAAGAGTGATGCATATTCTCTTCATTGATGACTTATTTGCAGCACACCAGCACACATAATCTAGGTAATATTTAAAAATTCAAAGTCACGTGAATCATTTCTGTAGAATAAAAATATCGATTCACTGGATGAATTTCCACAATATATCTCATACAGGTAATATGAATAACCTAGAAATACTGATTGGTAGGTACCATACAACGACCTTCATATGCTATTCGTTTATTGGCTAATTGGAGGTTATCATTTAAGTGGTATAGGTGGTGGTAGTGGCGATAAGCGTAGCATATACGAATCAAATTGTGGCCTATTTATATATTACGCAAAAGACGCCACTAGAAGGTGCTAATCTGATATACCTTGTGGTGTTGTTTTCGGAAAACATGGTTGAATTTGATAAACTAAAAAATCAGAACTTTTCAAGCCATGGTTTGAAGGTGGAAGTGATTTTTCACGTCATCAACTGGGTTTATTATAACTGTCAGATCTTTGATTCATGTCAGTATATTTCAAATAAAGTAGAATAACAAACAAAATATTACTTTTTCTGGTTGTAAAGGTGTTTTTTTTCCCTTAAGAGTCATATGGTGTAAACCATAGTAACTTCGATTTTGAAGCAAATTAGGATGTATTTTTGAGTATCACTAAAAACCATTATTAGTATATGAGCTCTTGTGTGGATGTCTTGATATTGCCAGTATTTTCAATTCCGATTGAAATGATGGATAGTGGCTAGCAGTAAAAACACAGGATGCGTGCTTCGTCCTACTTGTATCTCATCAGCTGTGGATTCTCCTGCCTGTCCCAAATTCAACTGAACATGCGTCCTCGATTTCACCGCTATCCACTATCGATTTTTCATATCTAATAGGCACTGGGAACTACTGAGATAACTAATCAGGTTTATTTATTTTACTCAAGACTGTGTTTCCAGTTATATAGATAAACCTGATTGGTAGTTTCACTGGTCGATATAATGATGACCTTTAAGGTTATTGGTATTTTTTGGGGAATGACCTTCAAAGTAACTCAAATATGTGGGTATGTGTAACGTGATCGTGCTGGTAAGTTAACAATGAAGCAAACTTTTTACCGAAAGTTTTTAGTGTATAAAATACTTACAATAATGTAAGCATTGATGAAACAGGAAACTTTTCAGAAACCTATTGTAGGAATGTTCATGGCGAGATGAAACCAACTTTTAAACATGAATTCATGTATATATAACTATAAATTCTGGGAGTTTAGACTTGAAAAATATGCCACAAGACAGATTAAGGATTAATTTTTATCTTCATTAAACCCCTGATTCACGCAATACTGGAAAACAGTTCCAGGAAGAGTATAACATTCAGTACTAACAGCCTATTGGTCAGTCGGTTTACGATACAATTGGTAGTTACTCAACATCACCCGTGCGTATATGCTACCCTTTAGCTTTATCCTAGATGGCAATCATTCTTCAAGGGAGGGAATGCAATTCTGTATATACAATTGGCTCCCAAGGAGAAGTTGACCATGTTTTCAAGATTTCATACTTTCATATATATTCAGTACTCAACAAACATGGTTGTTTCCATTAGGATAACAGACATTCAATGTGTAAAATGGTAATAGGCTTTCATGAACTATTTTCTAATGTAATTTCATTCTTTAAAATCATAGGCCTGAAGATATTTAGATAAACATCTGTATCCTAAGTGTTGTTACCTCAACTGTTGACACTTTAAATGTCTATGGTAAAACAAAAGCATATATATTAGTGTCGTAAAGACTGACTCCAGACATCCATGAGTTAGCCTTCTACATTATTTGATTACTAGTGAGTGAAGTAGTCTCAAGTTTGGTCGAATTCCATCGTACAATATACAGCTTGGTCATTAAACTAGTTGACTCACTATTTCGAGACATTTCGATGTTAGTTGGTTGAACGGAATCGTCGCGAAACCAATTCTATTTCAGTTAGGTTTCGTGCTTACTGACACTCATCAACAAGATGTATCTGAAACCCTGAAAATAATGATATCGCCTCAAAGATCCTAATTATTTCACCCAGTGTTGCAATTATAGATATTACAATGGAGCTATTCGGGTTGCAAATGATCTCCTGTAGATTAGATACATAGAAGTTTCGCTGGTAAATGATCAACTTTTATGAAGCGAGTTTAGATCACTGAAGAGACATCAATACATCCTACTGATGAGTGCTGGCAAGGACGAAAACTATCTCAGCTGAGAAGGATTTACTGGCAACAACTAATAGTGTATTGTCTTTGTGATTCCTTTTGCACAGATAGAAATGAAACAACAAGGTAGGTTTCAGGTGAGATATAGTGGTGATCAGGTATCAGAACTTCTATCTATGTGATAACCGAACATTCAGTCGTGTTTATCGACAGTTTTACAGTGGTACTTAGTGTTGAATAATGTTCAAGGCGATGAAAATTTAAATTTGTTGTAAATTTATTCCTATGCCAGGTGACAGACTATTCACATTCATCACAAATATGATATATTTGTAGACTAGAGTTGCATGGAAACTTGGGTCGGGAAAGGATATGAACTTATGCCTTACCAATCTATTCTGTAAGTGTTTGCTAGTCTCTACACTCAATTGACCCTCGAGACTATTCATCTTTTGTAAACGACACATTCAGTATTCTGATAGTTGGATTAGGCCATCCGAGAGTACTTGTTACACTACACTCCTGTTAAGCATCCAATACTTGACTTAGCTATCTGATTGGTTCTTATATTTGGCCATTAGGCTTAACCCTGCTTCAACACAATAAAATACCACAAACCTTTATCACCCTCATTCAACAACTATATGAAGATGCCACATGCCAAGTCATTCACAATGGGAAGCTCAGTGATGCCTTCAAAGTGAAGTGAAGACAGGAGTAAGACTAGACATGGCTGCCACCTACTATCACCCATAATATCCCTGATTGTGGTCGACTGGACTGAATCATGCAGCAAACAATGGGGAGGAGTGAGAAGAGGGAGAGACGCTGGCTGTACGGGGAAAAGATTCTAGAAGATTTGGATTTCGCCGATCATGATTGATGTCTAATGTCACACCAACTTCAAGATCTACATGCGAAAAGTAACAAGTTGACAGAAGAGGCAGGGTAGGGCAGGGCAGGGTAGCGAAGACGGGACTTCAAGTGAATATAGAGAAGACAGAGGTGATGAAGATACCCAACCAACAACACCACCACCACCAACAACAATGGATACAACAAACTCCGATCACCATCACCCTCAACGGGAGAAACTAAAAGGAAGTAGCCTACTTCAACAACACCTATCTAGGCAACATCGTTTCAACTACAGGTGGTGGTACATGCACAGATGAGAACGTCAAAGCTAGCCAGGATTCGAAAGACAGCAAGACAGGCGTTCACTAGCCTGAAACGAGTGTGGAGATCTTCTGCACTCCACTCAGCATAAAGCGTGAACAACATCCAGATTTTCAACACCAATCCAGTCAGTCAAGTCAGTGCTTGTGTATGGTTGAGAGACTTGGCACGTCACAAAAAGTATTTCCGACGAACTAGAGACATTGATCAACAACTGCTGCCTACACTGGCTCGTTAGTGAAGATCAGTTGAGATGAGATGGTGAGAAAGAATGTGGAAGAAGGAACTCTGGCTTGCCTGACAATGAACCAACGAAGCGAGAACGTATTGCTGAAGAAATATGCAGTGTAAGTGAGTGGAGGTGGATTGTACTGGGCATACAGTGAGAAGGTGGACTGGGGGTATCGCGCACCAGGCCAGTTGGTGGAGTGGAAGTTGGATGGTAATTGACGATTTGGGCGTTGGAGTTGAGGGTGAGATGGATGAGATTGTGTGACCAATAAATGAGAGGTCATGGCAGTCGTGGAGCGAGGTTCAAAATATCTGAGAGAAGAGAGTGTAGTGGATAGGTGCTGCTGAAGCTGTATATTCCATTAGTAACCCAAGGGACAAATAAAATATATATATTATAATAATATTTAGACGTAATTACTAAATCTTGAAGCTATCATGGCGTTTCTGTTCTTGAGCTCTTAATGTGATCCTATCGGAAGAAGCCTTAGACCTGGT